TTCTTCCTGCTTCCTAGTCTATATGTTCTAGATTCTCTGTAAGAATATATTACTTTCGGGGAAAAAAATGTAAAGGAACATTTAGTTCTTTTTGAAAGGGTAGACTTGAAAGAAGGTCCTCTTGATATTTCAAAAGCCAATACTTAGATTTTGTGGGATTTTTTTGGAAAAATTATCAGGCTTTGATGCCCAACTAGAGATACTATTTTCTTTGCATTACAGTCTTACATCCATCATTTTCAGTTTAATATGTTTTAGGAAACTGGACAGCTCTGTAAATTCATTCTCTCGCGGTAGGGTGGAACAGTAAAAGAATTTCTATTTGGACGAAGGAGAACACCATCGTTTTAATAACGGTGGTGGTGGTGGTAGCTAGTGTTTACTGCTTCCTCTGTGTCAGGCTTAATTGCAAACCTTTTTCCTGTACTAACTCATTTAATTCTCCCCACAACCTGTGAACTTGTACTCTTACTACTAACATTTCCTACTGGGGAAACTGATCATACAGGGAGGTCAGCTTTTGTTCAGGGCCCATGGCTGCTGATAGGGGAGCTGGGTTTCAGATCCAGTCCTCGGCGCTCCGAACCAGTGTTCGGCCACACTGGACTACCACACTGCCTTGCCTAGAGGCTGGATGAGACGGGCTGGTGGAGAGAGGTAAGCAAGGGTAATGGCAGGAGCTGCCGTATCCTTCTTGGAGCTGAGGGAGCAGGTAAGCGTTCCAGGGTTTTACCTGTCTCTAGACGAGGCCCTATGTGTGAGCTTAAGGGTTACCTGGATGCTCACCTTCGGTGTGTTGTGTAAATCGCCTTGGCCTAGTGTGAATGCTTAGGCCTTTCAGTATTTGTGGGATATTTCAGTGTTGTGGAGAGTACCGTGAGGCACCTCCGCCAGTATGCCACCGCCTTACTATCAGTGCCCTGTGTTCGTAGTGATAGTTTCTTTTTTCCTATCGAATGGAAAGCCTCCGTGTGAAGGTGTTTTGTGTGTTCCCAGGTGCTGGCATTATAATTGATTTCTGCTGGCCTGCTAGAAGATTGTATGTTGTGAAGGTCGCCCTCTTTGGCTGTTGGAGTGAGTGTTTCATGATCCGGCAGGGGCTCCTGCAGGCAGGCTGGGCTTGGAAACCGGGCTGGGCAGGATTGGAGCTGCCTCCTGCTGCTTACTGGGCAAGTCAAACCTCATTGCGCCTAGCTTGCAGGCTCTTGGTTTCGATTCAGTGAAATGTGGATTTGGAGCCTGTTACCCAGGAAGCATTTAGAAAATGGTGAATTCACTGTTTATTATTATTACTTCCTCCTCCTTCTAGTAGAATCTGTCTGACCTGGCCGCCTGGAACAATCTCTGTTTATGTGTTCACTGTTAAATTTCTGTTTCCTCAAGATTCTTTGAATGGGTTGTAATTCACGGAGGGGAGAAAGATCCTGGGATGCTGGGTCACTAAAGACAAATTTGCCATTTTTATGTCTGTCTGGATCCAGCCTTAGAATGTGTATTTTGAGTCTAAGCAAAGTTAAAACAAATAGAACTAAACTAAAATCTCCTTCTGTGTTTTCCTTTAGGAAAAAGAAGCAACTAACAAAACACAGTGGTAACAAGGATTATTCAGTATGTGGGTTTGTGGGATATGTCCTGGAGCCACCAGAGGCACCTGCACTCTGTATAAGCCACCTCTTAACATTCAGCGTTGATGTTCAGCATGACTTTCAGGCCCTGCAAGGTCCTCAAAGATCGAAAAACAATGTAGTTACTTCCTGTGCGAACACAAAATGTACTTGATGGTAGGGTTGCACAGTAGGCTAGTACTTAAAGAGATGATCAGTAACGAGGATGTTTTTCCTTTCGACCTTCAGTTAATCATAATGTCCTGGTTTTTGGTAAACCGCTGTGGTTTCATAGACACTGTGGGTACGAAACGAAGTACAAAAAGAGTAAATTCCTTGGTAGTGAAAATGATTATTTTTTCACTACAAGGTAGCCTCATCATGAAGAGACCCTGTTAGATTCTTTCCCATGAACTTGCTAGTGGATTAAAAACTATTTTCATTGTACCCTTTTGCTGGCACAGTTCTGGGAAGAGAAACTGCAGAGTGTTAATTGTAATTGTTTCTGGGTGTCAGAGACCCTGAAAAACTACTTTTTTCCCCCTCATTTACGTACACATTTATTACTTTTGTAACAAGACAAAGTGAATGACCTAATTAATTTAATTAAAATTTAATTTAAATTCAGATTTATTTCTAAAATCTGATTTATATGCCATTTAACAAGAATACATCTAAACTAAAGGGATGAGAAAAACAAATATTATATCACTTGAGGGCAGCCTAAAAGTTGTTTTGAAAGCTTAAGTTGCATTTGCCAGCTTGTGACTTAATAGACTGAGGTAGAACTTTAAGAATAATTACTGCCCTTATAATTAATCAAAATTAAAGATACAAAGATAGTTTTCTGCCCCCTGGAGTTAGCTTAGAGTTGCTATTTTTGAAAATTAAATATGCCCGAATTAAACTTTCTTTGGGGGAACTACTGTCCAAATAAAGCAACATCTTTCCACTTGGATTTTCCTGTTAATCTTGTCATTAAAATTATTAGCTTATATGACAAGATAATACACAGTGTAGAAGAAATTTGCTTTTTCTCCAACACCTGTGTGTAGTACTGTTGGTTTCTTATTTTAAAAATCTTTATAGAATAAACGGGATTAATCATTTAGATTGCAGAAACAGTGTAGACAGTGGTTAAAAGCACAGAGTTTGATGTCAGGGGGTCCTGGGTTTGAATCCTAGTCTTACATACGGACCTGGTAGCCTGTGCCAAGTGACTGACCATTTCTGTGCCTCAAAATGGGGCTAATAATCCCTATCTCTGAGGGCAGTTGTAAGGATTAAATGAGGATGATGTAAAGAGTTTGGTATATGAGTGAGATATTATACATACTCAGTAAGTGGTAACTTATATTTATTATTATGGTAATTACTAAAATATAAAAAACATATTAATAAACATACTAACAGCTAATATAGATATTTGAGGGTGGCTTCAGATAGGTGTTTCAGATAATTTCAGTTTGCATGTGGGAATGACTTTATGCCTCTTTTATAGTTGGTACTTTAACTCTCCAGATACTACCCTAAGCACAACATCATTTAGTGTGATTTAATGTTTATAAAGAGCGTGGGCTTTGAAATAAGAACAGTTTGAATCATAGTTGCAGCACTTTGATTCATTTTACACAAATATGTATAATAGGTTTTTAATGTTCGCTTTTTCTCTGTTCTTTTAAGCAAAAATGAGATTGAAAGAATGTAATGCTAGTGCTTTTTAAAAAAACACCTTGTTCTATGTACGATTTACTTTTTTGGGATGTTTTCATCTAAGTGGGAGTAAATGATGTAACTACTGTTCTTAATAAAACAACTGGAAACATGAAAGTATATACTGGGAGCATTAGAAGAGACTTTGCAGAAGGGAAGGGTTGTATGCACTCATGGGAGAGAGCTAGTCTTGGGAGATGGCTGTATTCCTCATTGGATTTTATAATAATTCTATTAAATTTTGGTCAGAAAAAATAATAGTGGGAGTTGACTTTGTGAGATTTAAAGTGATGTCTTAATTTGTATGATTTTATACATTTGTTTTTCTGAAGGTCATTTATAAGAGTTGATTTCTGTATTTAGAGTTTACATAATAAAGGTTTAGAATTTTAAATGCCATGTGAGATATGGTCTTTAAAACCAAAGGATCTTTAAGATGGTTTAAGACTGCATCCTTGTTTGGGGTGCCTGGGTAGCTCAGTCAGTTAAGCAGCCGACTTCGACTCAGGTCACGATCTCCCGGTTTGTGAGTCCGAGCTCCACGTCGGGCTCTGTGCTGACAGCTCAGATCCTGGAGCCTGCTTTGGATTCTGTGTCTCCTCCTCTCTCTGCCCCTCCCCTGCTCATGCTCTGTCTCTCTCTGTCTCTCAGTAATAAATAAACGTTAAAAAAAAAAAAAATTAAAAAAAAAAACGCATGCTTGTTTGTTTTTGAACTATAAACAGATTGTGGTGAGTTTGGTTTGACAGTGTGAAGACTAATAGAGGCATAACTGATAAGTACAAAGAGCGAGTACCAGTCAGCAAACATTTATTAAGCACCTACTGTGTGTCAGTTGCCGTTCTAGGCACTAGTGACACAAGAGCAAACAATTGGCATGTAAACATTTTGGAAAGAAGTTGAATTTCAAAATGTAACAAAATATTGACTACCTGTTATATGTAAAACACTGTTTAGGGGAGGGGAGGGTAGAAGGAAAAAAATAGAACGTTAGAGTTCTCAAGAACCTTACGGTCTTAGGAGGGAAATGGTGTATACGAAAATCTGTAGAGTAAGACCTCGTGGGCTGGTGGTGTCCAAGCTGCTGTGGAGATAACGGAGAAGGGAAGGGAATTCCAGCTGGAATTCTAACTAGAGGAGGCTTCACTAAAGGGATTTTTTTGGTACTTACAGGAAATAGTGCTAGTTTTGAAATAACAGGAAAAAGTTGTTGGGTTTCTGTCCAAATGTTTATTCTCTTTTCCCTTTTGTCAATTCTTGCCTTGTTTTTTAAGACACTAATTGAAATTACTTTGGGGGAAAAATTTTTTTTAAACATAGTTTATCAAACTTGCCAGGTTTCTTATTTCTGACATCACCAAAAACTTGTTTCAACAAGTCAGGTTTTTTTTTTTCAGTTTGCAAAATTTAATATGGTATTTAAATTCTCAGCCTTTGTAATATAAACCCAAAATATATAAACAGGTTGTTATATGGCCCTTACTCATTTTATGTCTCAATTTATTTACTTCAGGCTTCTCTTAAAAAAAAAAAAAGTAAGGAAACTATAAAAGGAAAAGCTACAGAAACTTAATTTTGTTTCTTCTCTTATTTTGTAGATGTCTGTGGCGACACTGAAAATGAATTCCTTATTTTCACCAAATATTCTTATATGAGAAGATCCATTTTGAACAGTCTATATATTTTTTCTTCTGTTGGACCAGCATGGCAGGATTCAAGCGAGGGTATGATGGAAAGATTGCTGGATTATATGATCTGGATAAAACCTTGGGTCGAGGTCATTTTGCAGTGGTTAAACTTGCCAGGCATGTCTTTACAGGTGAAAAAGTAGCAGTCAAAGTTATTGACAAGACAAAATTGGACACTCTAGCCACCGGTCATCTTTTCCAAGAAGTGAGATGCATGAAACTAGTGCAGCATCCCAACATCGTACGCCTTTATGAAGTTATTGACACCCAGACCAAACTCTATCTTATTCTGGAACTTGGAGATGGAGGAGATATGTTCGATTACATAATGAAACACGAAGAGGGACTTAATGAAGATTTGGCCAAGAAGTACTTTGCTCAGATCGTTCATGCTATATCTTATTGCCATAAACTCCATGTGGTTCACAGAGACTTAAAACCAGAGAATGTAGTCTTCTTCGAAAAACAAGGTCTTGTAAAGTTGACAGACTTTGGTTTCAGCAACAAATTTCAACCAGGGAAGAAGCTCACAACAAGCTGTGGATCTCTTGCGTATTCTGCTCCAGAAATTCTGCTTGGTGATGAATATGATGCACCCGCAGTAGGTAGGTGTAACCTTCCTCCAATATTTGCCCACTTGAATTCCACCAGCTAGAGAATAGTTGGTCAAATTGGTTGCTGTTTATCTGAAAATAATTTCTTTATTTTTTTTTTTTAATTTTTTTTTTCAACGTTTTTATTTATTTTTGGGACAGAGAGAGACAGAGCATGAACGGGGGAGGGGCAGAGAGAGAGGGAGACACAGAATCGGAAACAGGCTCCAGGCTCTGAGCCATCAGCCCAGAGCCTGACGCGGGGCTCGAACTCACGGACCGCGAGATCGTGACCTGGCTGAAGTCGGACGCTTAACCGACTGCGCCACCCAGGCGCCCCTGAAAATAATTTCTTAAGGGACTTTCTTAAATGTGTCTTAATTAACAGATTGGGTTTCATGAATGCCATGTATTCCTAAAGCTGGCAGTTAGTTTTACCCCTTATGTGGCAAACATCTAAGTATATTTGTCAGCACAGAGAAAAATGAGTAAGTTCTCATTTAAGGTAACCATCACCTGCTCACTGTAATTCTTTTGAACGTCTGAGTACATTTCCTATCTTCTTAGATCCTTCTGGTAGTCCCCTTAGTCTGCTCCTTCCTGGGCATATCCTTTAACACTCATTGAGACTCATATTGGAAAAGTACTGTGAATGAATGCTACAGTACATTATGAAGAATTTGGGCATGGGGATCTTTTATTAATTGTGATCTTGAAGAGTGTACTTGATCTCTCTCTGCTTCATTTCCTCATCCATAGAGTAGAATTGAATCAGATAGAGGTATTGTATCCTGTGTTACCGTGTTTACTTTTCACAGCGACCAGTGTGGTGGTTATTGTCTGTTTCATTGTATAGGACAGGAAATTGACCTACAGACATCTGCTCTATGGTGGATTCCAGAATTTTGGTAGCCCTTTGCATTGCCAGCTACCCTCTCTTCACTCCAAAACGTTGTGTTCTCTCTTGTCCTGAGTTATCTATTCCGGGTGGAAGTGTTTGCTCCTTTTCATCTTGTGGCAGTGTTGTCCCTTTGGGATTGTATCTGCTTTGAAAGTCATGTAGGAATTTAGGAATTTATTCTTAATTTTTAACAAGTTGTTAAGCTGAAGGTGTGGTCAGCTTTTACAATGTTTAGTTTAATCTTGGAATAATAATGCTCTAATATTACATGTACATGATATCACACTTCTTAGGAGTCTTCTGTTTGCATTCTGATCATTTGAAATGCAGGTTATGGAAGATTAAAGGCACACATTGAAGAGCACCAATTTTATACTGAATATTCTGTACACCAAAATACTGCTTTTCGTCTTAGATTTCTGTGTCCTGTAAAAGAAAGGGTTGTTGAATGGTTCCTGCCCACCTCAGATAACAAGGCTTCACCGAAACTTTTCATTAGGATATTTGAGTCAGAGATTTTTGATTAATGGAGCAGGTCTCGTCAGAAAATGAAGCCAAGAATTTACAGAAGAGGAAGCATAAATGTCTGAACATGGAAATGATGATGTTCAACCTCAGTAATAATCAGGGAAAATAAAAGCCTGATAAGATACTATCCATACTTTTCACATTGGGAAAAACTAATGTCAGACAAAACCAAGTGTAGATAACACTAGAGATCTTCAGGAAATCTAACTAGTACTATGTAGAAGACAATTATCTACTAAAGTTAAAGAAGTACACAATCCTGAGACCCAGCACTTCTCTTCCTGTGTACACACCCTTAGAGATGCTCTCACTCATGTACACAGATTTTCAGAGAATGTTTTTAACAGCATTATTGAGTATTCATCAGCAGGGGAATACATTGTTTGATATTCATGTGATGGAATTCTATATATTGGTGAAGATTAATGAACCATGGATGTCATCATGGCTGTAGTTCACAAACATTTAAGAAAAGCAAATTCGTAAGAATACTGATAGTATTACAACGTTTATATCAAAGTTTAAAACATATGAAGCAGTACTATGTACTGTTCAGGGGTGCATGCACATGTAGTAAAGCTCTGAAGAATGCATGAGGTTACACGAGGGGCAGGCATATCTAGAAGGTTTTATCTATATTGGTGATGTTTATTTTCTAATTTGGATGGTGGGTACACAGGTATTCACTATAATTTTCTTGTTTTTTTCCTTATATCTTCAATCTTGCCTTAAAAAAACTTTTAAAAAGTTTTTAAAAAGGAAAAGGAAAGTGGGAGGATGCCTACAACTGCACTTGTTTTCTATGTCATTACTTTTTCTTTCGTTGTTACTAATTTTTTCCATGATCTTTCAGTTTCCCTTTGTTTTCTTTTCTACTGTCTTCAGTTGAAAGCTTTTTTTCTTCATTGTTGTGATTTCTAACATTTAAGGTTGTGTGTTGCTCTCTCCTGCAATCTCTGGTAACATCCTGAGGATTTCACTCTCTGGTCATTGTTTTTCATTGCTGAAGTTTATCTTTACTGTTTTATTTCTTACTTAACCCAGAGGTTCTTTTTTTCTTTTTTAATTCAAAGTAGATAGATTTATGTTTCTTTTTAGCTGTTTGGTTTTTAACTTCTAATTTTAGTACATGGCAGTCAGTAGTCTACATTGCAACCTTACTGGTTTTTGCTTCGGGGAGTATTTTTAGATTTTCTGTGTGGCTTAATACATAGTGATTTTTGGTGACTATTTTTGGCATATACAAAGTTTTTGTACATAATTAAAGTTGCTAATTGTATAATTTGTTCCTCTGTGTCAGGTTTTTATTCTGATGTTATATTCTGAGAGAATTATACTAGTTCCCTACTCTAATCTGAATTTTGTATTTTAAGCAATTTTTGCTTTTATATGTTATTTTCTAGCTGTGTAAAGTATGTAAATTTCTATAATTTATTTTGCATAATGACCTATACCGTTTATCAATATGTAACTGTGCTTATTGCCATAGATTCTATTTTGTCATTTTGTTTTAGGATGTATTGGCGTCTGCCCTTAATGTTCAGAGTTAGTCAGTATCATATCATTCCCTCTGACCTGCGAACAAGAACTATATGTAGTTTGTAGTACCTTTTACAGATTTTTAGTTTGCTTTTATTACTTAATATATACTTTTTCTGGTTCAATAATGCTTTAAGAGCGGATGAAGACTCTGGGCATATCTTAAAATTATGTTCCTAAGCATCTTTAATTATTCCTTTTTTTGACCTAACTTAGTACATGCGAAGAACATTTCAAAATCCAGTGTGAATTTAAAAGTGACTAGCCGGTCTATCTGAAAAGCATTGCCTTATCTTGTGAAAAAGTGGATTAGTAAAACATAAATTGAGATATTCTTGACTGTTAATTTATGTGCTACTTACAGAGTGTGCAGTATACCAGTGTTTGGAAATCTTGCGTGGCACATTCAAGCCAAGAGTTGTGGTTTAACTAGAAGCCACATTGAATGTACTCGGGACAGCCTGTTCCTTCCTCTGCTTTAGCGCCATGAAGAAATATGTCCACATACTCCCTCCTACAAGAGTCTTTTTTTTTTTTTTTTTTTTAATTTTTTTTTTCAACGTTTTTATTTATTTTTTTTGGGACAGAGAGAGACAGAGCATGAACGGGGGAGGGGCAGAGAGAGAGGGAGACACAGAATCGGAAACAGGCTCCAGGCTCCGAGCCATCAGCCCAGAGCCTGACGCAGGGCTCGAACTCACGGACTGAGAGATCGTGACCTGGCTGAAGCCGGACGCTTAACCGACTGCGCCACCCAGGCGCCCCTACAAGAGTCTTTTTTAGACAATTTGGGAAAGGGGCAGCCACCAGAACTGTGATTGTAGCATCATGTGTATAATTGTAAATATTTTCTTTGAAAACTTTTAAAAAAATCAGTCCTTACTGTACACGTTGTACAACCTAAGGTGTAATACCTTTGTGATAGAACTTTGAAGGTAGTCCAGAAGGGCATAAATCAGAAATTTTCTCTTTGGTTTATCTAAATCTGCTATTATAGTTTGTTGTGAATTGATAACTCCTTGCTTTTCTTTCAGATTTCTTCCAGAAAAGCTGTTAATGTGTTTGCTTTTACAGTCCCTCCCAAGTTGCACCAAATCTGAGGGGGTATAGTTTCATTTTTCCTGCTCAAAGTTACGATTTATTAGAGACAGATGCTTTAGTAATGTTTCTGTGTTTTCCGACTTGAACTTTCTCTTCCCAGAGTCAGACTGTGGTTAAATTTTTATTACCTACTCTTAAAATTTGCCATTTGGACCGTGAGCCCTGATGGATTATAGATTAGAAGACCTTGGCTTGTGTCACAGAGTTTAGGCCTGAGTGTAGAGTTTGAGATTATGCATTTTTAAGGGATCATTTGTGCCTTTTTTATGCATAGGGAAGTAAGTTTGGTCTGTTTAAAGCACTATCTTGTTCGTCTTATTTAAAAAGGTAAATATGAAACCTGCCTACATGGTACGTATCCAGCATGAACCGCACTGCCTCCTTGGGCCCAGGCGGCCGCATGCGGTGTTCAGTTGTATGGAAGTGAAAAACGTATCCTTAGAAACGTGGTGCACACCTTCCACAATCCAGCTGTCGAGTGCAGGTCAGATATTCTGAAAGACACCTTTTACAGAGTATACCATCACCACTTGTCACGTAAAACCAAAAGAAAAAACTCCTTTCCTAAACTTTCTGAAGTTCCGTGTGCCTGTGAAACAAATGACAGTTATTTCAGAGATCATAGGTAAAAATTGATCCGCCACGAACCCTATGTAAATAAAAGCACTTTACAGTATTAGCTCTGTATGCACGATGTGCTGGCTTTACAGTGTGACTGTTGTATAATTATGTATTTAGGGAAGAGCCATTCTGTGCTTTGAGTAAAATCTTTTGAGATATAAATAAGCTACTCTAGAACTTAATATTTGTAATAAAGATTCTTGAGCACAACATGTTATAGGTAGGGTAATCTATAGGTACCATACGTAGGGGTTTTTTTAGGCTAACTCAACCATTGATTTTTTTTTTTTTAACGAGAGGCCTGAAAAATGTGATTAAAATG